TATAATCTAGCCCTTTTCTGGGAGGACATTTTCTCTATATAACAAGAACAACAACAAAATCAGGCACCCTGAATATGAAAGGTTGTAAGAAAGTTGCAGAGTACTCTGGAGGGCCAACAGACAGAACATAAATGGTTTTACAGAAGAAAGAGACTATGGACTTACCACCACGTGCCTGATCGAGTCTGATCTGGGAAGCTAAGCAGGATCGGGCCTGGTTAGTACTTGGAAGGGAGAAGAAAGAGACAAGTAGGTATCGGAAAATAGTTCTTGAGGGTGGTACTTAAGAGAGGGCCTCAAGGGTAGCATTTTGATAGCCAAGGATTCCTAGGAAAAGCAGAAGTATGTCTCACAGAGGAGCACATGAGCAAAGTGAGAAAGGCAGGGTACAAAAGATTTTTTTTTTTCAGGTATCATCCATTTTCAAATGTGATGGGTGATAAAATATATGGTCCTAGTTTGAGGGAGCTTAGTATTTAGGAAAGGAAGTTCAAAGTCTTCTTAATTCAAAGCACTTTAGTGATTCCTTAATTTTTTTCTTGAAATTTTACTATTAAGTGTATTTTGTAAAATAATTGAGATTAGTGTTTTTTCCTTCCCATGAGAAACAAAAAATGAAACTTTGAGTAGTTAATGGGAACACTGATAGAAGGCAGAATATCAATGAAATCTATCACTGTATTCTATATGTTAGGGAATATGTAAGGCTTAAAAGAGACAAAAGGCCAAATCCAAATGTCCAGCAGAGTTGAAGCAAGCCTAGGGGTTAACAGGAATGCTCATTAAGCTCCTAGCCCCAAGATTATACCAAGTGATTTACATCTAATATCCTTTCCCACCAAAGAATTCTATTTAGATTAGGGAAACTGAGACTCAGTGAGGTTAAGTAAATTGCTCAAGGTTATGAAGCTAATAAAATATAAAGACTACTTTTGAATCTAGGTCTGTCTGAGCCCCTATTTTCCCTACTGTTCACTCTTTCTTACACATCACAGTAAGGTAAAATCATAATGTGTACATCAATGAAGAAAGTATTCAAAAGTAGTTTTAGAGTGGCTTTGAGATCAGGATCAAGAGAGATCAAATTTAGGGCTGCATCTTGCTCTGGTTTGAACAATGATCATAATACATATGTGATTTAAGAATACCAAGTGGTAAAATTCTAGTTTGGATTCATCAATTAGGTAGTAAACTCTAAGGGAATATGGGTATTTGTATATATTTACTGTACTTGAAGTCCCTGGAACATGACTGACACAAAGTAGCACTCAATTTTTGTTGAAATAACAAAAAAACCATGTAAGTATTCTCATTTGAATACTTTTGAAAGTTCAGAAATAAAGACAGCAAAGCAATACATGTAAAACCACTTAAATGGTTAGAATATTCCCTTTAATTCTCAACTACAAGGCAAAAACCCAAAGAGCCACCACCATCCACCAAGTAAAGCAGCAAGTTAGAAAACATTAGTGTGAGCTTTTACAACCCAAGATAAACAAAAGAATGAAAAGAGACTTTTGCATTATGTAGAACATCTCTGTGGATAATCACATTTCAGTAAGAACTCCAGAATTTTGACCTCCTGTTTGAATGCTTCAAGCTCTTGAGGGCAGTATATGCAATGACTGCCTTAGGAAATGGAAATGGTTACCTAATTCAAATACTCTAAGAAGAAAAAAAAATCCTTTGGAGGATAGTAAGCATTGCCACAGAAACACTTTTACAAAGGAGTAAGAAGAACTGGTTTTACAGGCTTTCCTTCTCTATTTCTCACAAGCCTTTCTCTAATATTTCTTCTTTGATGGAATCCACGTATAACTGTCACTTATCACAAAGCATCGTCTTGATAGGTACTTTCTATATCGCTTTCTTCTCAACAGACAGTTCTTCAAGCTGATCTACTCTCTCAGTTGCAATTTTTCTTACTTCTATTACACTCCATGTCTTTCATGGAATCTCTTCAGGACCAGCTTAATAAACTTCTTTGGTTTCCAAAACTGTTTCCAAAAGGCAATACTACGGCGTCTCAATCAGTACTCTGACATTTTCTCTATCTTTCTCATTTAGTTCTACAATCTTTCCATATTTCAATTCATAATACTCTAAGTTTAATTTTTCAGGGTGACTACACTGTCATATTGTTAATATAGAAGATAGTGAACACTTTCTATCCAGTCAATATCTACTTGGTACGGTGTACATGTCCCTAACATTCTATTAATAACCACAGATATTATTTTGCCCTGCCTTTAAAAAAAAATATTTCTTTATGTGTATGCGTGTATTGCCTACATGTAGGTAGGTGCACCTGTGTCATGCAATGCCCACGGAGGATAGAAGAGGCTGTTGGATCCCCTGGAACCAGAGGTACAGACAGTTCTTAGCTGCCATGTGGGTGCTGGGATTCGAACCTGGGTCTTCTGCAGGAACAGCCAGTGTTCTTAACCGCTGAACCATCTTTCCAGCCCCTGCCTTGCCTTTTTAATTAACTACTGCAACAATTTTGCAGTCTTTCAAATAACTGATTTTAGCATATCAGAATTTTTGTTGGTGGTGGTGGTGCAAGGGATGAAACTTAAGGCCTTTCAAATGAAGCAAGTGTTCTACCACTGAGCTATATATGCAGCCCATCAGACTGACTTTTTCTTTCTTTTTTTCCCTGCCAGTTCTGGAGATCAAATCCCAAACCCAGGGCCTCACAGAGTGGTAGGCAAGTGCTCTAGGACTGAGCTACACTCCCAGTCTAAGGATTTTTTTTTTTAAATTTTGGTTTATTATTTTCATTTTGTGTGTACTGAGTGTATTGCCTGCATGTGTGTAAGTGCACCTGGGTCGTGTAATGCCCTTGGCGGTCAGAAGAAGGCATTGGATCCCCTGGAACTGGAGTTACGGGAGGTTGTTAGCCACTATGCAGGTGCTGGGAAACAAACCCAGCTCCTCTGCAAGAGCAGTCAGTGCTCTTAACAGCTGAACCATCTCTCCAGTCCCAAGAATGATTTTTTTTTTTTTTTTTTTTTGTTGGTCTTTTTTTTGAGACAGAGTCTCCCTGTAGCCCCAACTGTCCTGGAACTCGTTATGTAGACCAGGCTGGCCTTCAACTCACAGAGATCCACCTGCCTCTGCTTCCCGAGTACTGGGATTAAAGGCATGCACTACCACGCCTGGCTGGTTAAAATATTTTTATTTTCACATTTAAAACATTTTCTAAGCTGTAAATGCAAACTCTGATGTTTGATAAGTAAGAATCCCAAAGGTAGAAATACATGGGCTTTATATTTAAAAATAGTGGGAAGCAGAGGCAGGAGGATCTCTGTGAGCTCAAAGCCAGACATGGTTACATAGTGAGACCCTGTCTCAAAGCAAACAAAAAATTGGAAGGCATTACAATTCTACTCTTACTTGCTAGATATCCTAAACTTAATAAAATTGCTGCTATTTCACAAAATAAAGTCCAAATAGACTGATTCCTTTAGAAAAAATAACTCCATGCTGTGTTACTTTACAAGAAAAGCCAAGGCATTGAAATAGTTGAGTATTACCTTAGATACATGTTATAAAAAAACAGAGATTACAGGAAAATAGGAAATTCTGTCTTATTCAGCTTTTGAAGTCTTTGTGAGCCTCTTTCTTCTTACTCAAAATGTGGGCTGAGCACATAATCCCTGTACCATGCTTTAAAACCTTAAGAGAAAAGAAAAAGAACCTTAAGAGATACCTTTTTTTCTTTTTCTTTTCTTTTTCTGGTATTTGTGGTCTTTTTGAGACAGGGTCTCCCTGTAGCCCCAACTGGCCTGGTACTCACTATATAGACCAGCATATCCTCGAACTCAAAAGATCTGCCTGCCTCTGCCTCCTGAGTGCTGGGATTAAAGGGCGTGCACCACCATGCCCGGCTAAGATACCATTCAAAAAAAATTTTTTATTTATTATTTTTATTTTACGTGTATGAGTGTATTGCCTACATGTATGTGAGTGCACCCGTGTCATGCAATGCCGTGGAGGTCAGAAGAGGGCTTCGGATTCCCCTGGAAATGGAGTTAAGGACGGTTCATAGCAGCCATGTGGGTGCTGGGAACCAACTCGGGTCCTCTGCAAGAGCAGTCAATGCTCTTAATCACTGAGCCATCTCTCCAGCCCCGAGACACCGTATTTAAAATAAGTGACAAATTCAATTAAATTACAAAGGGGAAAATATAGTTAAATACATCCTTCGCAAATGCTATATTTAAGCTATATGGTTGATAATCTTGCTCCCAGGCGTGAAGCAAAACCTGAATATGTAAGACGCCAATTACATCAGTTAAGGTAACTTCAAACTTGAGTACTGCACCATGACACTCTCCCATTGCAAAAATGAAGATGCCTCGTGGTTCATGTGAAATACCCAGTCCCCTAACGAATTAACTATCTCCTTAAAAGAGTAAAGACTTCCTGCTGTATGTCTAGGCAGAGGCCACTATTTCACTCAGTTAAGGATGTACTTGAGTAGGGAGGCAGGGGTAGGCAATTCATGAATTATGCAACAATGTAGTCATGTAGGGAATTTCACAAGGTGTTTCTATTCTTTGAAAAAAAATTAAGAAAATCTTGTATGGGGAGAATTTCCATATCACACGTAGAGACAAAACGCATAAATTCTGCCTGTGGGCCGGTGATTTTAACATTTTGGGAATAACCTAACATGGGACATAAAAAACACATCTCCAAAGCTGTAAGAAACTATCTGCGAATGCCCCAAAGCAACACCTTTTTGGCCCATATCAACACGGGAAGTGGGTTGGACACCCCCAAACCATCATCCTACCCTCACAGGAAGTGAGTTATTTTTCCCCCCCTCCCCGTGACAGCATTCCTCCCTTCCCCCAACCGGAAGTGAGGCGCCCTCATTCAGTCAGCCTCAAACCAAGACAAACCAATAACAGCAGCAAAAGAGGGACTATCTTCGAAGGGGGAAGGACATCTCGGCTGAGGCCACCCCCGGGCTCGCCGTGCTTACTGACCTGCGGACCGTAGGGGCAGGCAGGGGCCTGAGGCCTAAGGAAAGTGTCTTGCACCGAGGGCAATTCCCTCAGCCCCTCTCAATCGCCTTCACTCTTCGCCCTCCGTCGTCTCACAGCTTGACAGAAATTCCTCCGCAGCACTTTTTTTGGTGTCTTTTCTTAACCTTTACGTAATCACTTAGTCACCTGCAGATAGGTAACGTCTCTTCTCGTGGTAACATTTAGAATTGTTCTGGTGAGGAGAAAAGTGAACTATTACACCCCATACTTTCAGAGACATGAAGGGATTATTTTGCCCAGTGCGGCGAAGGACTACGTGACCACGCACAGTGAGACTTACTTTCGCAGAGGTTCCTGGGAAATGTAGTTTTCTTTTTCATTGCTAAGGCTGGTATAAAGTAGCGGGGCCTAAATTGGTAATTATATATTGGAGTCTTTGAAAACACTCTCTAGTTGAGGACTGGACGACATAAGAGGACTGGGCATGCAGAAGGACCAAAACCGCGCAGCTGCTCTTCTCTAGCCTTTTATTGAAGCCAAATTCCCCGTCACGCTGGCCCAAGGTCCCGATCGCCCCGCCCCTTGGCTTTGGCCACGCCCTCCCAAGCCAATCACATTCTCTCTAGGTCTGGTCCTCCGGATGTAGGCACGCAGAGAGGCGTGGCCTCACGGCAAACCCCTCCCCCGAGGCTGAGGCAAGAGCTGGGACAAGGCGTGGGCCGCTCGCCTGCTTTTCCCAAAGCGGAGCCTACGAGGGCGCGCGCCGAGGGGCGGCGCGCGAGGTTGGGAGGAGCGAGCAGGCTGGTGGGCAGGGCGGGTGGTAAGCGGCCGGGAGCGCGCCGTGGACTCGGCGGCAGCGAGTAGTTAGTTGTGTCAGTTGCTTGGCGGCGACGGCCGCGGTCACCAGAAAGAGGAAGGGACGGGCGGCAGTGGTGGTAACCGCAGCGGCGTGTGCGCCCCTCAGGTAACGGGGGCAGGGTTGCCCGCGTCTCCTCTGGTCCTTCTTCCACGCGCGCTGGCTTATGGGGCCAGGGTCGGCGTGGTGAGGACGCGGACCCGGGGGGTTCTGTTGGGTGGCGTCGCAGGGGCTCGGCGGCCGGTGCGTCCTGCGGGGCCACGGCTCTAGCGCCCCGCTGGCGCCGCGCGCCCCCTCGTGCCCCGCGCCTCCCCAGGCCTCCTTCCCCTGGCGCCGCTGGCCCCGGGAGCGCGGCGCCCCCCAGAGGAGAGAAAGTTGGGACCTGGCGGCTAGGGAATCCCCGGGGCTGGGCTGGGAGGCTCCGGTGGAAAGTGAAGCCCGGAGGAGCTGGGCTGGATGCAGGATCCTGGGGCAGGAAGGGCTTCTCTCATCTTGCCAAGTCTGTCTGGTCATCCCGCTCCCAGACCCGGGAGGATCGGGCACAACCTTGCCAGCAGTGTCAGGACCGAACCGGTGGCTCTGTGCCTGCTCACTTCACGCTCTGGCTTGTCAGCCCCCTATGGTGCGGGCTTGCTAGGTTGTTTGGAGGTTTGGGGCTGTGAGAGGTTGGGTTGGGCAGTTTCTTTGCCGTTTGGCTTAGGGGTTCTTGGAACTTTTTTTTCCTTTGAAGAAGACTTGCCATCTGAACCGAATCCCCTCTGCTTTCCCCGATCTTTTGCACCATCCGTCCGAGGGAGAGCTTGATTTTGTTCTTTGATTATATTAACGACTGCTGAAAGCAACAGGAAAAAGGTGGTTCCCCCTCACCCCCCCAATATGTCTTGTGCGGTCCGTTTTTAAGACCCAAATTTAGGAATCAGAAATGTGAAATGGAGTTCTTGGAAGGGTGGCGTTGAAGGACAGATGAGTTAAGAGGAAAACTATGATTTCATCTTTATTGGCCTTACTATAGAAAACCTAGTACGCTTTCTTCTGCCTCTGTTGAATGTGGCAAGATTACACTTTCAATTAAATACTTTGAGACTTACATAAAAGACTATTTTTAGGTCGGTCATTGGATGATGTGCACGAAGAGCTTTTTTACCTGAATTGGAATCGCTTTGGGTATTCTGTTTAGGGGCCTAACTGCTGATTTTTTTGTTGTTCTGCCACAGTGTTGTGTCCCCCCCCCCCCCAAAAAAAAAAGGGTGGAGTCAGGGGACCCCAAATTGCTTTTTGCAATGTGGAAAAAAAAAAAAAAAGGGAAAGAAAAAAGCCCAAACTTGAATTATCCACAAGGGTAAAACTTTCCATGAGCAATCTTGGATACTCACTTCTTGATGGCTTCTTTTGTAATCTCAGAGTAGTCTAGATCTTCCAATTCACTGACTACCCTAATTACTTTCTAAAGTACCTGACACCTTTTCTCTTTGGTGACTTGTTCAGTAAACTGTAATTGCAGGTGGAAGTTCAATTTCTTGGCTTCAAAGATAGGAGTTAATAACCTTATCACAGAGATCAACAGTTAATGATCAACACAGAATTCATACCATTACTAAGTGAGTTTTGGCAGTGACCAACTCACAAACTATGTGAAAACACAAACATCCTCTTCCCATAGATGTCAAATGGAAAGAGGAGAAAATATTTTAACATGTCTTTATTTTGGAGACTAACATGGCTATATTATGAGAAACATGCCAAATATTATTTTGTAAAGCTTTTTAATTTGTGGCCCTCCTTTCTCCCACCCCATTTAGGGACTGACATTAATGTTTGGCTGGTTTCCAGTGTTGTAAGAGAAATGTTTTGGTGAGTGGAAAAGATAAGATTGCTTTGAACTGTTAGGATACTGGGACTGTTCATTTTTGTCTAGTAATAATGTAGAGAAACTTCGACAGTAATGTTTGTACCTCATTAACATTCTGTCAGAATTCATTTTTAAGAGCGTATCCTGAGGCCTATAAAGAAATAATACCACTTCATAACAGTTTTCTGACAATCACATTAAAAAATACATTCCTGAAATGCATTCTCTGTGTAGGGATATAAACATTTATCTTTGTACGTTTATGGTAATGTAAATATTTAACTCTGAGAGCTTAAAAACTTTTATTTGCTTATTTGCATACATGTTTTTTAACAGCTAGCATTGCCAACCATATTTGCCAAATAAGCATCAGCCATAAATTCCTGCTTTGGCACATTTCATATAATAACTCTTCTAAATTGCTCCATGGTGCAGCATCATGAGATTAGCATTTGCTTCATGAGAGATTTGTTGTTTTTAGCCGTAATGATGTGCTGTTTAAGGGGAACAGGTGCTGGGCTCTAGCTGTTTGTGTTATAACCCGCCAAATCATACTCTTTTGTTGAATGGGCTGTTAAAGCAATTTAGGAACCAAGCTGTGGCCCCTGGCATGCCAACTGTGAGTTCCAGGCTCCATATCACTTTTGCAAATCTGTTTTTTACTGTAAGAGGCCAAGTGTGGTAAGCTTTATTTCATGATCCCTTTACTGTGATTCCTATCCATCTCCCATCTTTTTCATTTATGACTAGAGCTCTTGGCGAAGTATAGGGCCCTTCTTTGCTGGTTGGTTTTCCTTGGAAAATTAGAAATTCTAGTAACTGTTAAGGCCAGAACTAGGTAATTCACATTTGTCTGACAAGTGATGAATGTCTGAGTGTCTTTTAAGTGCTAGGTATGGTGGTAGGACACAAATAGGTGTAGAGTGGTATTCTTTTTTGCCAGGAGCTTAAGAGAGAGGGCTGATAACCAGTAATTATAACATGGTGTGATAAATGACAAGTGTTGTATACATGTGCCTATGAATGGAAGTACAGAGGCACTCTTTGTTGACTCAGACTTGGATTCTTGTTTGTGGGGGGTGTTCTGGAATCTTAGTATGTTACTGAAGCTAATCTTGAATAATATATGAGCTAGCTAGGTTCAGAAAGAGAAAAATTATGTTTTATTATTAGTGCTATCAGATTAAAAAACAAACCACAAAGTTGTACATGTAATTAAAAATTTCTAGTAGTCAATGTTTTAAAAGTGAAAGTGAAATTTATAGTATAACCGTCCAGCATATTTAAACTATTATCATTTCAAAATGTGATCAATATGAAACAGTAATACTGAGATAGTTTACCCACTTTTTTATTAAATTTTCATTTTATGTGTACGAATATATTGCCTGCATGTGTGTAAGTGCAACTTGTGTTGTGCAATGCCTGTGGAGATCAGAGGAGAGCATTGGATTGCCCTGGAACTGGAGTTACAGACAGTTGTTAGCCACCATGGGAATGTTAAGAATCAAACCCCAGTTCTCTGCAAGAGCAGCCAGTGCTCTTAACTGTTGAGCCATCTCTCCAGCCCCTACTGTCTCCTTTTCATACTAAGTCTCTAGAACCTGGTGTGCATTTTTACACTACATTTTTATACTACAGCACATTTTAATTAGGACTTGCTACATTCACATACTCAGTCACCATGTATTTGCAGCACAGCTTTAGAATAGAGGCAAATGAAATAGTGAGCCAAATCACTAATTGTGAACCAAGTTTAAGAATTTTAACTTCATCTTGAAGGCTGTGTGAACCCCAGAACAGTAAGCTATACTGTGTTAGGATCAGAGTTGTATCTTAGTCCTATCATTTTGGCAGAGAAATGAAAGCTGGATTAGAAGGGGGCACAAAGCCAGCTGGGGCTACAGGGAGACCCCGTCTCAAAAAGACCAAAACCCCAAACAAACAAAAACCCAACAACAGAAAGGGGCACAACTAGAAGCAAAACCAAGTAGAAAGCTATTCCTGGTGAGAAATGATACAGGGGATGTAGAGGATGATGATGATAGATGACAGATTTAAGAAGTACCACCAGTGGAATTGGATAGATGATAGAGAAATATTGTGGCCAGTGAGATGGCTCAGTGGGTAAAGGTGCTTCCTGCCAAGGCTGACAGAGTTCCATCCATGGGATGTACCTGGTGGAAGGAATGAACCAACTCCTGGAACTGCTGTATGTGTGCAGTGACATGCATCTCCCATCTCCTCCCAATAATAAATTTTAAAAATTTTAAATAAAAATTAAAGAATGAAGATTTATGATAATTTATGTTGGGAGCTGCTAGGTAGAAACCACCAACAGCTAAAGGGAATTCAGCCAGCTATGCCAGATAGACCAAGGATGGGAAAAAATATTTTTGATTTATCAGGAAGGTGAGGGAGAACAATATTTCAAGGGCAAGGTCCTGCGAACCACTAAGAAAAGAGTAAGATAATGAAGTCTCTGAGGCTTTGAGATTGAAAAGTCCTAATGTAACAAGTAAGAGCAGTTAGCTACATTGTGATGCACTGAGGAGGTTGAAGAGTGCAGGGCAACTAGAAGTGCAGCTAATTGAGAGGGATACAGTGTTTTCCTTTTCCTTTTTGGTTTTTTGAGACAGGACTCTCATGTAGCCTGACCTTTTACTGCTATGTAAGCAAAGCTGATCTTGAACTCCTGGTCTTCCCGCCTCTACCTCCCAAGTGTTGGGACTACCAGTATTTGCCATCATGCCCCAGCAAATAGTTTTTTTTAAAAAATATTTTT